CTATAAGTTACAAAAATATCCGATATTGATACATACACTCAGTAAGTATTTTATACATAGATGATACAAAATCGAGAATTCAATGATATAAGTTGATATAACTCAAGAATTAATAAATTATTAATTAATCTAATATACACAAAACAAGTGATATATTATATGTATTTATTAATACCTTAATAGCAATATGTCCAAGGGAACCTTTCAAACAAACAACTTTATATGTAGAATCGGTCAGCATAGATTCAAGATTATCGAATGGCGGTATAATGTTAATTCTATTTGTTATATAAAAAAATAACACAGCTCCAAATGACATGGATAATACGGAACAAAAGAGGCCCATCGATACTTCTATTATCCTTGATCTTCCAATAAGATTATCAGGAATGTAACCTAGTGTAATTATTATTTAAATTAATCAATATATCGGCCTTTAATTTTTTGAAATGTTTTGTAATTAAAGGACAAAAACAAGATAAAATCAAGTATTAATTCATACTTTGATTGCAGATTATTCCAAAATTGTAAAAAATATGATTGCCGATAGACGAGCTTCTGCAATTATTTCCGATCCGTGCGAAAATGGTTTGTGACCAAAAACTGCATACGCTCAGTAGTAAATACATAATCAATATAGAGCACCATATTTTCCAGGAGAATGCTTTTGCCATCCATGTGCTGTCGTGTAATATCTCCTGTTGAATATACAATCGGTGCCTGTAAAATTATTATAGCAATTTAATGTTTATAAAAATAAATTTTATTACGGTTACATGTCTTCTTTTCGATATAGTTGCATTGTTTCTATTTTATCTAACACTTTCAAAATACATTATGGTGAAACAGAGCACTTAAACATATATACTTGTTCATCCATAAAGGCATTGTAAAATCAGTAGCTAAAAGTCGAAGACTGTACGTTTCGACTTTGGGTATTGCAAAAGTTTCATTACGCGAAATTATGCCTAATAATCCGCGTGGAAAAGAGGATAAGTTCACTGACGCACCCAGGTCATTTTCACTTGATCTTATTGGCTGTAACCTAGAAATTATCTTTTTATTTTATTGTTTACCGTTGGCTTTGTCAGTATAATTATAATATCTGAATACAATATTGGATTGCGATCTGATTAAAGTTTAATCTTACGTAAAATTTAATTTTTCAGAAAGAAGATTCCATAATTCACCACAGAGTCCTGTAACTTTCGTATAATTGTCGTAAAATTCGAAGAAATGCTGTTCCTAAAATACATACAGAAATTGTTATTAATAGTTTTTGTTGTCAATTAACATTTTTTAATATTTAATTATTTAATCAAATATATGTGTAAAGTTATTTTACGTTTTAAGAATAATAGGTTTAATATTTTTTCGCAAAATGTAGAAGAATTTTTCTCCCTCGCATTATTATAATTATTACAATATATATATTTTTTATTATTTAATTTTGTTACTAATTAATACTGTTAATTAGTTTATTTTATTTTCTTAGAAATTTCTATTACAATAAATTAAAACTACATATAAAAATGTCGCAAAGTTTAAATATTCAATGGATAATTTCGAATATGTAAATTTTCTTTTAAAAACGTTAGATACAGCGAAATTCATAGAAATTATTATAATTATTGATTATCAAATATTAACGAGTTAATTTTTGTTTAAGCTAGTTTTAATTTTTGAAGAGATATCGTAAAATATGTGCAAGTACTCAGCCATCCGCGTTTCATGTAGGCATACCTGAAAGGACGTTATAGTCAAGTTTTGCAATTGGAAATTATGGGTTTCCAATGCTCGACTTTGTCTAAGACGTTCTTGTTGCATTACGGCAAACGCCGGCACGCTAGAAATTGGCACGAAAGTCTTTTGAGTTCTGCTCCAAATCACGCCGTTCATCGTGTTTTAGACAATCGTAACCGTCCACGTATAACCGGAAATAACACTTGTCTGATCATAAAGACATTTTGTAACGTGCATTGCTTTACGATATATATTATTTTAATGCGTAATATAATTATGGCAATTATGATCATATCCTTGATTGCATTGTCCACAATGTAATGAAAGATAATAGAAAGATAAATAAGATGATCAGATGTTCGTTGTATTACTTTAGGTAACATCTCTTCTTGAAATTCTTTTATACACAAGTCGATTTAACTTAAAACAACTCGTTTTATTGCTAAGAGAAAGAAAAAAGAACAGATATATATTAATATTGAATTAATGCAATATCTATCAATTATTCGTGCTTTGTCTACAAATTATTAGATTATGGAATATATATATTTGATGCATTATAATACAGTTTTAACGTAGATCGAGATAGATAGAGATATACAGAAGTACATTTTGTTTACATCACTTATTCATGGTTAATCAATTTTAGTCACTATCATGATATGCGCGATAAACATAATATACCTTTTTTTCGACTAAATTGTTCGGTTCCTTGATGACAAATGGCAAGTCGAATTCTTATCGCACGGCGAAGCTAATTGCAACGGCTGAAGCGATTACTTATTTAAATTAGGTGGAACGAATTGATTCATTATCGCAACATAAAATCAAATCAAATTCGGTGTGAAAAGAATTTAAATAAATTATCATACTTTATAGAATAAGAATAAGTGCAATATATTTATTGTATATATATATATACAGACAATTCTATATACTACTGCAGGGTGTTCGAAAATTTAACCGACAAACTTTTAGAGATTGTCGGCGGTATTAAAAGGATCATTTTAGCAAATAGACATAGGATCGGAAGCGTGTCGTTACACAGCTACGGCAGACAATGTTTGAAAAAGGGCGGACCTCGAAATATCTAAAAAAATATAAGTTTTATAATAAATTGTTACAGATGAAAGTTGTAGGGTGTAAAAAGATTTATTTTATCTTTTTACATTCTACAAATTATATTTTTTGAGATATATTTCGAGGTTCGATCTTGTTCAAAAACTGTCTGCCGTAGCGGTGTAACGATACGCTTCCGACCCTAGATCCATTTGCAAAAAATGATCCTTTAATTTGAAGCTCCAGACAATCTCTGAAAGTTTGTCAGTTGAATTTTCAAACATCCTGTATATATACAGTGTCCAGTAAATCGCCTGCAATACTTCCAGGATTGAGGTGATTCGGGAACCAAACAGAAGGAAAAAAGGTTATATAAACATAGGTCCGGAAATAAATCATTTCCGAGATAACCACTTTTATGTTAAAAAAATTGTAATTTGTAATCATAATTATAATAACAATCATACTTTATAATAATGATGACAATTAGTCATAATAATTTTTTTTTCCAGGATTTACCATGTAGAGACATAATTCGCTTGGCACCCCTCTTTTTTAATTTTTAATTTTTATTTTTTTATTTTTTTTTGGCTGAGGTGCTTTAGTTGTATTTTATATCATCCGTGTAAAAATAAGTTAATTCACAGACAATATTAAAAACATAATTAAGATATATAAAAACATTAAGGAAATTGAAATTTTAATGATACTCATAATTAATCGTGTTAGTTCACAGTTTTATTATTCATTGCAACTTCAATTGTTACAGGATTAATTAAAACTCAAATAACAATAACAGTATTGGTAATATAAATATACTAAAGTTTCTGAACGCGCGAGTTGTAAATAACCGCTGACAATCAAATATATAAAATATATTCGTGAGATAATTAGCATATACATACGCTACTAGTAGCGTAGTAAGCGAAAAGTAATCACGACGATTTGAGCTTAAACACCACTTTTTCGATTATGAAAATAATAATAGCTATTATTGTTCCACAGCACATTACTAAAATTATTAAAAGAACTTGATCCATTTGAATCGCTTCCATAGTCACGACATTCATATCTTGGTGTTTCTCCGGCATCCAACGCCCTGTTAACGCCTTCCACAATCCAATTTCTTTTAATTTGAGTATCCTAGACATAAAAATTATTTGTTTGCATAATATATAAGCATAATATGTGATATAAATGCCGTTGATATTTTTTTACCCAAGGTCGATGGTCCTTTTGTATTTATAATTCTTCACAATGCCAGAAGCTATCCACATATTCATAAGGGATTTTCCAACTGAAGTCACATAACATTTAGTCTGACCTATTGTCTTATATATGTCTTGACTTTGAAGTAAGACATACTTCTTTTTATCTTTCATACATGCCAATTTAAACATTTCTTCAACTGTTGATGCAATGACAAAGCGTTTTGTAGTTTTTATCCGCACAAAAGAATCAACGCCTGCCTATAAGTTACAAAAATATCCGATATTTATACATAACACAGTAAGTATTTTATATATACACACGTGATACAAAATAGAGAATCCACTTGATATAATTCAGGAATTAATAAATTATTAATTAATCTAATATAGGTACACAAAACGAATGATATATATATATATACCTTAATAGCAATATGTCCAAGGGAACCTTTCAAACAAACAACGTTGTATGTAGAATCGGTCAGCATAGAATCCAGACTATCGAATGGCGGTATAATGTTATATCTTTTTGCTATACAAAGAAATAACAAAGCTCCAAATGATATGGATAATATGGAACAAAAGAGGCTCAGCGATACTTCTATTAGCCTTGATCTTCCAATAAGATTATCGGGAATGTAATCTATTGTAATTGTTATTTAAATTTATTAATATATTGGCTTTTAATTTTTAGAAATGCTTTGCAATTAAAGAACAGAAACAAGATAAAATCAATCATCCATTAATTCTGCATACTTTGATTGCAGATCATTCCAAAATTGTAAAAAATATGATCGCTGATAGACGAGCGTCTGCAATTATTTCTGATCCGTGCGAAAATGGTTTGTGACCAAAAACTGCATACGCTTAGTAGTAAATACATAACCAATATAAAGCACCATATTTCCCAGGAGAACACTTTTGCTATCCATGTGCTATCGTGTATTATCTCCTGTTGAATATACAATCGGTGCCTGTAAAATTATTCTAATATTATTATAGCAATCTAATGTTTATAAGAATATATTTTATACGGTTATACAAATACATGTATTCTTTTAGTTAGTTGCATTGTTTCTTTTTTATTTAACTCTTTCAAAAGAAAGTATGATGAAACAGAGCACTTAAACATACTTGTTCATCCATAAAGGCATTGTAAAATCAGTAGCTAAAAGTCGAAGACTGTATGTTTCGACTTTGGGTATCGCAATAGTTTCATTACGCGAAATTATGCCTAATAATCCGCGTGGAAAAGAGGACAAGTTCACTGACGCACCCAGGTCACTTTCATTTGATCTTATAGGCTGTAATCTAAGGATTTTCTTTTTATTTTATTGTTTACCGTTAGCCTCGTCGGCAATTATAATCTCATACAATATTAGATTGTGATTTGATTAAAGTTTAATCTTACGTAAAGTTCAATTTTTCAGAAAGAAGATTCCATAATTCACCACAGAGTCCTGTAACTTTTGTATCATTGTTGTAAAATTCGAAGAAATGCTGTTCCTAAAATACGTACAAAAATTATCATTCAGTTTTTGTTGTCAATTTACATTTTTTAATTATTTAATCAATTATATAAATAACATTATTTTAAATTTAAGTTTTAAGAATAATAAATTTAATATTTTTCCCCAAAATGTAGAAATTATAGAAAAATTTTTTTCTCTCGCATTATTATAATTACTATAATACATTTTTTATTACTTGATTTTGTTTCTAATTAATACTGTTAATTATCTAATTTTATTTTCTTAGAAATTTCTATTACAATAAATTAAAACTATATATTAAAATGCCGCATAATTTAAATATTCAATGGATAATTGAGAATATACACATTTTCTTTTAAAGACGTTAGATGCAGTAGAGAAATTCGTTACAAAATTTAATTATTGTATGATTACTGAATATTACTAACTTAATTTTAATTTTTGAAGCAATACCGCGGCGTAGAATATGTAAAAGAACTCAGTCTGCGTTTCATGTAGGCATACCTGAAAGGATGTTATAGTTAAGTTTTGCAATTGGAAATTGTGGGTTTCCAATGCTCGACTTTGTCTAAGACGTTCTTGCTGCATTACGGCAAACGTCGACACGCTGGAAATTGGCACGAAAATCTTTTGCGTCTTGCTCCAAATTACGCCGTTCATCGTTTTGGACACTGGTATAATCGGAAATAATCCTAACAGCATCGGATATTGCACTAAGGTTACAAGAAGGTTACAACCTTACATAGTTTAGTGAGAAGATTACTAGTATTCCTCATTAACCTTGCAGTGTAATCTTATTATAAATGTTGTTGGAAGATTAATGGAATTTTATATCAATATTTCAGCAACCTTACAAAATAACTTGACATTAAAATATTGTTGGAAGCATTTTATTAATGCATCTTCTTTCAAAATTGCATCATTTATTGCGCGCATTAATTTTTAATCGCGTCAAAGTATACTTGCATGATAATTTAATATTATTAAATTACACAGCGTTCGATAATACGACATACAATTAACAATATAATATAATATGATAATAAGAAAACCAATTAAATCCAATAAGAAAACAGCTTTCCGAAGTAAAATTTAATTCTCTATTATGCAAAAATATGTAAAAATGGTAACTTTATTTATATTTATTTATGAGTAAAATATATCTTAATTATATATTTTTTATTTTTCTGATAACATCTGTTATACTAATGTATTAATGGTATACATCTATAAAGTAGCATTCAATATTCATAGATTGTCACAAAACAGCATTTCGCGAACGATAAGCAACGCTATAAGAGAAGGAATATGGCTTGAGTGGGTGACCCAATAAACGGGAAAGGATTGAATTAGATTAAAATTTATTAATTCGTGGATTGAAATATATGGATTGGAAATGAATGCATTTCTATTTCATAATACGAATATAATATAATATTATTATATTATATTAATTATGACTAGGACAAAAATTGTGATTAAGAAATGTATTGTTTTAATTTATCTAAATTCAATAAAAACATTTTTTTTTATTTAGATGAATAACATTTATGGTTCATTATCTCGAAAAACTTTTTTTAAATTTAATTAGATTTAAAAAAACAGCATTTTCTACTAGAATTTTGAATTAAACAGTATTCACGATTTACTTTTTAAAGCCGAACTTTTTTGGATTAAATGGCATAGAAAATGTGATTCATGCAATTTTTATAAATGAATACAAAGGAATTGTGTATTGAAATTCAGATTTTCAGAAGTATGCATTTGCGAACGTTGAAATGAATATTTTTTAATCTATTTTAATTCATTCTCGTTTACTGAGGATCGCTTATAGAAACACCGTGAAATTAGTAGTTTCCAAATACATTATTTTTATAACAATTTGGTTGTATGTATTTTCTCTCTTTCTCTGGAACGTGATGCTAATCAATAAAAATTTTTTTAATAAAATGAAAAATCGTTTTTAGTTTGCACATAAAAAAATTGTATATTGCATAATATTAATACTATGTATCTTGCAAGATTTCTGGAATGGAATGAGTTTGGACAAACATTTTCATGTTATGTATTGGAAAGTTAATAGTTTATTTATTAATCTCCGTATAATATTATCATCTTACAGTTTTAAGTTATGACATATTGTTCATGTGCTTCGATCAGGGATCGTCTCATAAAGACATTTTGTAACATGCATTTTGCTTTACGATACATATTATTTTAATGCGTATTAAAATTACGGCAATTATGATTATATACTTGATTGCATTATACGCAATGTAATGAAAGATAACAGAAAGATAAATAAAATTATTAGATGTTCAATGTATTACTTTAGGTAATCTCTTCCTGAATCTCTTCTTTTATATACGAGAAAATTTAACTTGAAGCAACTGGTTTTATAGCTAAGAAAAAGATAAAAGAACGGATATATATTAATATTGTATTAATGCAATATCCATTATAATTATTCATGCGTTGACTAGATGAGCTTCCCATTTAACGATGAACATAAATATTTATTTTACAAACACTGCTGGATTATGTATACAGGAATATACAATGTATTTGATGTATTGTATTAGTTTTAACGTAGATCAAGCCCGATGATATCCAGCAGTACATTTTGCTTACGTCACTTATTCATGGTTAATCGATTTTAGTCGCTATCATGATTTGCAGGATAAACATATATGCCTTTTTTCCAACTAAATTGCTCGGTGCCTCGATGACAAATGGAAAGTTGATTTCTTATCACACGTGTACGTGGCAAATCTAATGCACCGACTGAAGCGATCGAGGTCATCGATACACACGTTTTAGTATGAGTGAAACATGTAAATTAATAATTACACGTGTTATGTACGTCTTTAACATCTATTACAGGTTGTAAATAAAAAGATAAGTTAGCTAGACATTGTTATTTAACATTATTACTTATTTAAATCAGATTGAACAAATTGATTTATTGTCGCAACATAAAATCAAATCATTTGGAGTAAAAAGCATTCAAATAAATTATCATAAACTTTGAAGAATAAATGCAATATATATATATAGACATACATATAAAAAATAAAAATTTTTTATTAAATATTAAAAAAATTTTTTTTTTATATGAAGGAGGGAATGACTAGTCGTGATATACGAAAAACATGAATTGTATATTATATTTGACTGAATATATAAAGGTCTTAAATATGTATAATCCTTCGCTGAAGTTTACATAAATTAACTTAGGTCTAAGTTTCCGTGACAAACCTTCGAGACGGTCAGAATTACAGTCAATATAAATTTCGATTCGGAGGTTCGTCAGTTCTATAAGTCTTATTTAACTCAATAGCACTTTCGCGCACTCTCCAATCATTATCCGGTTAACGGACGTGGGAGTAAAATCCACCGGACGATCGTCGTTAAGTCCAGTCTTTCTTCTTCTTTTTTTTTCTCCAACGAACGGAACACGCTCTTCGCGTTTCTTTTATCGTTAATACAAAATTATAAAAAGTATAATACAGTCTCCTTGAAGTGCTTTAATTCTACGTTTCCATTTTCTAATCACTCTGCGCTTATATTTACTACCTCGGTTTAAAAATGGGCAATTAATTTCACAAAGTTCATCATCGGATGTTGCTCGATCCGATATCGAATCGAGGCAATATTTTAGCGCCTGTTAGAATGTATATATTGTACGCCCCATACACGAATATAACATATAATTTATACACAAACGCCGATAAAATTTTCCATCCAACATCGCTGAGTGTTCGTGAGTATTAAATCTCAGTCGTTTGGGTCTTTGAGGTCAAACAATATTAGGGTGCGGTTGAAAGAATAGCGAGCGTCTAAAAAAATTTTTCTATAAATTCTCCCGTTAGCGATAATTACGTTTTTATTAAATATCTGTGAATATCAATAATACGTGCTGACACAGGAAAGCCATTTAGAACACTAGCAAATAAATTCATTCTAAATTCATATTTTACATTGCATTATGATTTATCGCACTTAGATGGAGAACATATTTCAATTCATATCGCACAATTGCAGCAATAAATTGTGTTTTCGGCTAAAATGAGCGACCTCAAAGATTTACAGACATATATGCGATTATTATAAAAATGTACAAATTGAAATACCTTTTTATTAACAATCAATATTCACTATCCGGGTTTTGGCATACGATATGACGATTATAAAAATTGCTTTTTAGAAAACATCTCAATATATATTCACAAAATACACACATGCACGCGCGCACACACATTCATTTCTCTGTCGCACTTCTTTTCTCTCACTTTCGCTTATTACAATATAGTATATCCGATTGCTCGCATATACGAATCTTTTCGAGAACAGTCCTGTAAAGATTATTTGAAAACGTGATTCATAAGGGGTATGCCTTATATAGAGCATAACAATATATCCCATACAGTATTATACTCTTTGGACAGAGCATGCACATGGTTAAACATTCGTTTTAATGTAGTTATCAACGTATGTTGATATTGTGTTCTGTAAGAGAGAATTTATTTTTCTTCTTTGTGAAATAGAATTATCTCCCGCTCGTCTTACATATCTTACGAATAAACGTATAAATTATACATATATTCGGTAGCATAATGTTTCGATGAATATCTATCTTTTCTAAAAATAAAAGAGCATGTCTTAAAAATTTTGTTCTATTGTGTTGCATTATTACAATCACAAATGGAATCGTTATTAGAGTACGACATCCGGTTCTACGTCCCACGTATGTAAGTATTAAACTAGATTGTATTAAATTAAGTGTAAAACATTACAGATATATATGTATATATACCATCCAAAATAAACGGTAATATTATATATTATAAAATACGTGTATATTTATAACAATAAATAAATGCATATATATGGCAGATTAAGTATTGTAGCTACTCTCTGTATTTATCTTATTCGTTTGATACCATTAAAAAAAAATCATCTGATCGTGAAAGAACACATTATATATTATACGTCATCCGAAATAAGAGGAAATATAAAATACGTGTATATTTGTAAAAATAAATAAATGTATATGGCAATGATTAGTTGTTATAGCAGCTCTCTGTGTCTACCGTATTCGCGCGCGCGTTTAATACTATCGAAAAAAAAGTATCCGATAATATCATGAGAACAAGCATGCGTTTTCATCGACAAATCATCATGGCAAATATACGAAGAACGTACGCGTTTATAACAGCTTTTTCTTCTTTTCGATAAAAAAAAGAACTGGCACCAGTGCCTGTCTCCGATGGCAACTTATACAGTTGCCGAATTCCAAATCCTTGGTGTTGAGAACGTGTGTGGTAATTGGAGCTAATGTTCCCGTTGGAAATCAGAAGCTGCGTTCAGTTTGATCCAAGGTGAATCATTCGCGGTCGCGAATGAAGTCGTTCACTTTGATACCCTCGTTTCAGTCGTGACTTTACTGGGATCCGGTAACCTGACAACCAATTGCGCGCCGTTTTGCATCGGTCTCGGGCCGTTGGTGGGCACGTTCAGCTTGGGTACACCCACCGCAGGTAAAACTTTCTTCGCGCCGCTCAACTTGGGCGAGCAACACTGTTTGTCGTCGTAGATATCGTTCAGATTGACGTTCGTAGCGGGATTCTGGTAATTGGTTTTTATCGGCGTTCCGTGTTCCGTGCCGAAACCGCAATTTGGTCTCTGATCAACGCAATTGGAATTCGGGAAAGTACTCGTCGGCGGCAGCATTTTGATCGCGTTATTATGATCGTTAAGATTACACATATTCACCGGCTCCGTGCCGGTCTTCTGATCGCTCTTGTATATCGGCGCTGACAGTTGCGTCGAATTGGTCTTGTTCGTGCTCTTGTGACTACTGCCGGAGTAACTGGTGATAGACTCGTTGCAGAAGTCGCTCAAGTAGGTTTGATTTATGTACCAATTATGTAGCCGATGGTGAATTTCCGGGAACTGCGGCCTACGATTCGCCACCTCGTGCCAGCACTCGATCATTAGACTGTAAATCATCGTCGGGCAGTCTTCGGGACATGGTAATAATTGCCGCGAGCGTATCATGTCTATAACTTCCTGATTGTTGTATCCGTAATATGGCTAAACAGAAATAAGTGCACAAATTGTAAGAAACAAATGTTCAGAAGTTCGTTATTTTTAATTAAATGGTCACTTTGATTTTACCTGCAAGCCGTAACTGTAGATTTCCCAGAGCACAACTCCGAAACTCCATACGTCCGATTCGGTCGTGAATTTACCATATAGAATCGACTCGGGTGGCATCCATCGAACAGGAAGTAGACTCTTGGATTGTACTCTGTAGTAGTCGCTGCTGTATATATCTCGCGACAGACCGAAGTCCGAGATTTTGACTGTCAGATTGTCACCTACTAGGCAATTTCTCGCTGCCAAATCGCGGTGGACATAATGATGACTAGCCAAATATTCCATGCCTAACGGAGAATGATAATTATTTTATACGTAACAAAATTATGTCAACTTTAACTCGGAAAATAAATCGACCAGATCTTACCAGAAGCAATTTGTAAAGCAATATGCAAAAATTCCGGTTGCTCTAGAATTTTGCCGCCACTGTTATTTAACGGAACATCCGATCTCGGGGAATGACAGATTAGAAACTCGTGCAGATCTCCCTGAGTCATGTACTCGAAGAGCATACACATTGGTTCCCCTTTCAGTATCACACCGAGCAAACAAATGATATTCGGATGCCGTAGATCTGTCATCAGTTCGACTTCTCTTTTGAAATCGCTTTGAGTCTTGGGCGTCGCATTTTCCTTCAGTGTTTTCACCGCTACATAAATAGGTGGCTCACATTTATTTCCCGTTTGCAATTCGCCTTTGTAAACTTTTCCTAAAAATATATACCGATATTAGTTTAAAGTGAATCAATTGTCGAATTTACACACAGCAAAAAGGAATTTTTTTTTATATTTACCGAAAGCGCCTTCACCGAGTTCTTGCAAGAGCACGATATTATTCGTAGTGAATTGCGGTATCCTAGTATTAGAAGTTCTACTGCTGCCACTGCTTAAGGTGCCAGTGCCCGGTGTCGTATTACCGGGTCCTGCCAAGAGGGAACTCATTTCCATAGGTTGTGTCGTACTCCTCCTTCCATCGTAAATGTTCTTATCACACTGGATACTAGTTAACATCTGTTAAAAACAAGGTATTGTTTTAGTAATATCATCTATTTATTCATAATTGAATATGTGTATATATAATAATATATTTACTTTATTGGTTGGTAAATGATTCATTTGCCTTCTGGATTTCCTACTTCTGTAGCAGCAGCAATAACAAATTAATATAATAACAAATCCTCCCGTTAGTACAAAACCAACGACCGCGTAAATCCATAAATTTTCAACTGGAAATAACAGAAATATATGTTTCTCATTAAGTACACGTGTAATATGATGAATAAAATATACTTGTGCATTTCACAAGCAAGTACTTACCACATTTAGGTATATTGCAAAATTCCTTTTGCATTTTGTTATTGACATCGACGTAACACCATGGTTGAATTTCTTTACCGCCCGGATTCCGGCAATAAGAATGACGTCCAGCTAATTCGGGAAAATCAGAAATTGGAAGATTGAAATGATGAGCCCACCGTAAACACGGCCTTCCACTCGCGCTCGTTTTCACAGTTCCTCGATAAGATTTTCCACTACCCCAATAGCAATAATCATCTGCAAGAAACATATTAAGATTAACACATGCCATCTTCAAGATTTCTGTCTACTAAATATTTCATATTTATTTACCTTATAATATAGCTAATAGCTAAAAAAAAAACCAAATTTATACTTTTGGCATGTATAGTATTTTTCAAAACTCAAGCCTAAATGAATGATATTTAATAGTATGCATAACTCAAACTTCACTTCTTTTCTTTAGCTGAGCAAATTTTATAAAATCATCGTATATATTTATATATTTTCTTTTAGTCAAAAATTCGAGTTGTTTCTTCACGTCTGTTGAGTCTGTCAGAGTTATAATTTTGGTGGGCAAAAAATATAATTTAAAGCTAAAATCAATAGGTACATTATCTTGAATGTGTAAACCTCTACAAAATATGTAATGTATGTATGTGTTGAGAAATGTTTATTTTGATTTCTATAACACGTTAGATTTAAAAATTAATGCAAAAAAATACATACTTTCTTGTACGTTGGTTACCACGGACAATCCGAGCGTTAAGCAATCACGAGCCTCAGTTGTCCCTTCCAGTGGTAAGTCAGAACATTCGACCAAAGGCACTTGATGCCCAATCAATGGATGCCTCTTCGCTATCGCGTATTCCTTCCTGCACAACTCGTTCTCCAGCATTTCGCACTCCTCCCGGCATATCCTTCGTAATTTACGACTGATCTCGTTTCTGCTGGACGCTCGCGCGTCGCCGTAACTCTGATTAATTATCTTCTTGTTGCTCGAAGACTTCGCGTCTTCGTTGGGCATGAAGTCGAAAACTGGGCCCAGGGTAGGACTACGTTTGGGAACGCTGTGCAGCTTCGAAAAATCATCCGTGTCGTCGCGGTCTCCGTCCTCTAAGAAATCGTCTTGCTTGGAGTTCAGGAGATTGAAGAGCTGCGTGCTCGCTTCCGCGTTCTTCGGTTTCTGAGTGTTAGCTGGGTCGCGGCATATCGGAAAGGCGGAATAGCAAAGAGACGGCTTCGCATATCCTTCGCAATTTGACGAGAGCTCGCTGTGTGATAAAACAGTTCAAAACATTTTAGTTTTACTCTTTAATACCAAGATATTAATACTGTCTTTGATGTTTTACACAAATTTTTTTAAATATATTCTGAAGCTTCGAAGAAACGTACTTTGAAAAATTGATAACTTGAAAGGCCTTCATTAATTTCTCCTCAAGCATTTTCTGCGTCATGGGATATATAATATAAACCGACTGATTTCCTACAAACTGTGCACAGGTTTTTCCTATATACACCTGTAAGAATTAAATTATCCTGTAACACCTTTTTTTAACACATATCGACAATCTTAAATTCAAATTCTATTTTTATACTCAAGCACAAACCTCGCAGGTTCCTTTATGATTGTCCTTTCTGCCTGTAACTGAACTTATGCTTGACATCTCATCGAAATTCATATTAGGAGGGAATTGTATATTGCCATTAGTAAGGCCGCTGAGTGTATTGAAATCCATGGTGCTGGATTGTGAACTGGTTGGCTGTGGACTCGGCGAAAGTATGAATGGATTCGCAGATGCCAAGTGAGAGATGTGAGGCGTAGACATTCCATTCCCTGAGATGCCCAACATGTCCCCATGTCCCATGCTGTCGCGACAAAAAAGGCAACAAATCTTACACGTCTTACATTTATTGTCTACTTATTGATATAAAAATGCACTGGCAAAGATAATTTTTGCATACAGTTTTCGTGACTCAGACTTCGAGTGAATTTATTTTAAGCAAGTAGCTAAAGCAAAACTACGTTGACAAATGGAAAAACAATGATCGTCCGTGATATTTTTATGTGATGATTCTCACTAGAGGTACACGCGTTATTATTTCAAAACATAACCCCAACGAAGTCACAGGAAAGTTGAATTTCCAGCTGCCGTCCGTCCGCATCTCGTAGCGAATCGACGGAGAAAGCACGGCCGTTATCAGCCGCCGTCCGGCGACTTATCAATCGTATCGACTTTACGCGTGAAAGGCCGCGTTATCTGCACACACACAAAAAAAAAATGCTCCCGCGACTCTCGCGTAACCTCGCGTGACGAGGCTGCGCGGCGCATTTACCTCGGCTCCGTCGCGTTCCCGGCGCTATTTACGGCTCGTACAAAAATACACGTATTCTGCAACAATGCTAGGTACAAGAGTAGCTTCATAATTCGTAGATCAACTATCAAAACATTTGGCTTGACGTGTCAGGAGCTCGTGTCATTTGACACCACACCCGGGTGTCAACCATTTGTAAACTAACGCCGCGACGCGCCCGCGACTGCCGCGTCTGCTCTGCCGCGAGACCAGCCTGCCCCCCCCCCCTAACGCCCGGCCCCGCGAACATTGGTGAGCCGAATCCCCGGCAGATGGCGCCGCGGGTCACGATTCTTGCGATCTCTTTTCGTGCGCGTCTTTTCCTCTTGCGTCCTCGCCCGAGTGAAAATTTCGAATTTAGTTTGATCGCGCGCGTCGCAATGAAATCGTCCTAAAAATCTTCTCTCTTCCAAGCTGCGAGGGTGCCAGGAGAACGACGGGATTGAAACCGAGTAAGTGGACCAGCAAATATTAACAAAGGACTTTGACGGAATTAGCGGAATGGTCAAACATACAACAGCAATAAGACCCTCAAAATCCCCTCGAAATTTCACGATTAATTTTTGTCGACGACTTTTTTTCCTTCTACGTGCAAATTTATGTGATTGCGGGTATCTTTTTGAAGAAAAGAAAAAAATTAAGCTCAAAGGGGATGCTATATTCGTTCCTTAGCGTAGCAATCAATTATCGTTAAATATGAAAAATAATTTTTAGTGTTAGGTATTAGTAATAAAGAAAAAAAATATATATATATATATTACCAAGTATGACTTATTCTGATTCCCGAAAATGCTTGATATTTTACTAAATATACAAACAAATGATTCGTATTATATTTTAGATACAAATTAAGTGTGTCTGATACTCACCCGTCGATAAAGCTTGATCCGGACATTACCGTGGAAAATTTGTCACCCGACGGCTGTCCCATAGGGTGTTCCTGCATAGGATGCATAGGAGCTGCAAAGGAAAAGTGAGTCAGATTCTATAAATATACATATGTAAGTGCGAAAGCTCGATATGTACACGGAGAGAATTTTCTTTTAAAATTTACCCTGAAAATCATGTTAATTGTGAGACAATACAGTATTTAGGTAAATTTTACTGTGCACTACAATAAATTTTACTGCGAAATCTTATTGTAGTGCACAGTAAAATTTGCCTAAATACTATATTGTCTCATAATTAACATGATTTGCAGGGTAAATTAAAAAAAAATTTTCTCCGTGTATGATATGCTATATATAAAGTTCATACAATTCTTTCTATTGTAATTCATTATTCAGCAAAGTTTGTGTAAGGAAAACTTCGAAAACGTGTACATAGAATACGCTCACTGATTATACTTAAAAATAACTCCCGCGTGATACTGTCGTATTTCTTCCGAACTATCTCATTCGAAGTCGATTAACAATACTGTTTAATTCTTAAACACGTATAGGAATTATTCGTATATATAATTTATTAATGTATCTGTCGCTTAATTAATGTCGCTTCCGAATTACAGATTTGCCGAGTCCATAGATTACCTCTTACGCGCAACACGTTCGCGTTAATATTCCTATTTAATTTGATATTCAATGTCGGGAGATAACGAGACTTTTCACTGTATTCTTTGCAAGTCGCTCGCGCGGAGCAAATATTCTGCAAGTCGCCCATTTGCCCATGAATACGAAATAGGAAACGTCGGCTAAAGATCCAAAGAGATCTTTCTGTCTTTCCGGCGCGACGAGGCTCGACAGCTCGGAGCGCACTAACACGCGCGCGATTACGATCCGTCAAAAAGGAGACGCGACATCAAACGCCTCTGTTTGAAGAAAAGCAATTTCGCGAAGCAATCGTTTGGGCTTATTATAGGCGAAGCGATTTTCCGGAGGAATAACGGGATGGGGGTGCCTCGTGTTCGCCTCCTGTTACCCAGGATTTGCACAGTTTCTCGTCTTCGCTCTTTAGATATCTCTCCCTCCTCCCTGTAGCGCGGTACAAAGCAAATAATATCGAAAATCTGAGTCTACCCCTCGAACCCTCGTGTGCGCGAGGGTCCCGACCTCCTTTTCGTCGGACTTGTAAATCCGCGAACCGCTCTCGGCACGGGCAAGGACCCCCGTAGTGTCCTTCCTTGGGAAGTTGCATAAAGAGTCGCCAATTGCATTTCTACGTGCTCTTTAATTTCGCCAATAAGAGAAGCCGTAGCGTCCATTCCTCCGGGGGGTTGCTTTTATATTCTTTCTCAGACTCTCAATTCCTCTCGGGTTCACGGAAGAAGATGAGGTAACCGTTATTAGAGCAGTATTTTTTTAATACTTTCTCATTTTTTTTAAGAGCGAAATCCAAGAAAAATTGCGAATAAAGTAGCATATAAAGTATTTATATGACACTTTACATGTTTAGTGCAAAATATTTCTTCGTTTTCTTTTGTGTGTATGTGGATTTTACATTTCGTTACAACTTTCTAATTTTTAATATTTAAACCTAATACTTCGATGATTCGATGTGACATTACGAAATGCAAGACACTTCGTGTAACAATAAATTACAAAGCGGTATTCTCTATCGAGCTTGAATGTTACATTTCGTAACAACTTCCCAATTTAAACTAAATACCTCGATTACGATATGATATTACAAAATTGAGGGCTTCGTGTAGCAATAAATTACAAAGCGATGTTCTCTATCGAGCTTGGATGCTACATTTCGCTACAACACTTTCCAATTTGCGTTAAATATCTCGATAATTCGATACTACGATATTACAAAATTCAAGGGCTTTGTATAACAACAACAATAAATTATAAGAGATATTTCCTCTATCGAACTGGAATGTTACAAAATTCGGACCTTGCTGATTTTGAAGCTGCATATAATTGTGTGTACAACATCGCCGAGAGACATTCGCTGTTCTGAATATTATTACGCCGCGGCAATGGCAATAAAATTTTCCGCGCGATCGAGGATAACGACGATTAATCGTTTGCTCAAGTCATTCCTCGCCGCGAACGCGGGTGCGATCCTGGGCGATGATAAATACGCGGGTGCATGCGCAGCGTCGCGCGGTTACACGAGGGACGCACACACAATGAGACGAGAGCGAGCCTCTCCGAGAGGCCCCGTATACGCACAATGTTGCGACGCGATGCAACTACTGCGCGCGAGGCGGCCCACGTATTATGTATCTCGAACAGGAAGTGGAAAAGATAAGGCGGCTCATGGTCATTAATAATCCCCGCCTACTCGCGAAACAGCTCGCATCCCTACGACCCCAACGGCGCGCGGCGGTGACACCGTTTTACAGGGCAGTTATACCGGGTGTCCGCGAAAGCTTGCGATAATGACGACAAGGCGATGTTTTTCTGTAACGTTTTGCAACAATATTTCCCTCGTTACAAGCAAACCGGGACCTAAGCTGATTTAATCTCAACAATCTAAAAAAAGAAAAAACTAAGAGCGTTTCGTTCTATACTAACTCTGCGTACATATATAGATTTTTAAGATTCTAATATTAAAAAACCTCGACGTGTGTATCAATAAATATATTTTAAATCGTTGAGATATTTAATTTTGCAAATTGGAAAATTATGTAACAAAAATATAACATCCAAATTGGATGGAGAATACCGCCTTATAATTGTTATACGGACTCTCTGGAACATCCAGTATATACGACCGTGCATTATTTACCAAGGCACGCGTGCATTCACGTGTGCGTAGGCGGATATCAGGAGTTTATTCCACGTGCTATTACATTTCCGATCTAATTAGGTGCCTCTCGGCGGACAATGGCCTATTGCGTTTTATTGAGAGAGATAAATTTGTCGCAATTAGAATTCTCGCCGTGTAATAGCTCCACGTGTAATGTCACGTTCCCGCGCGACGAGGCGCATTTAAAACTCGATCTTTGTTGCCAACGTCTGATTTATTACCAGTAACAATGTGGGACGAGCACAAAAAAAAGCAATTATTATTTTAATATACTATTTGATACAATACATAAATTTTATAATAGTGTACATATTATACATAGTATGTGATTGGAATGTGTTAGAATGTATCTACCGTAATATAAAATCTTAAAGTTATATTATATTATATTATATATATATATATATTATATTATAGTATATTATATGCAATATCTCAGGGAACATCTCAGAGGGAGATAAGTATATCCAAGATACGTTATACTATCTCTATACACTCTAATTAGCTCTTCAATTAGGATACTCGTTACGGTTCATAGTGCGTGCAAACCGCATTTGTTAGAAATGCTTTATGGACTTTCGCAGACGAAGGAGGCGGTAAGAAGCGCCGCGTGCGCTCTCCGATAGTCGTCCGCGGGACCGCACACGTACGCCTCGCATGCTCGTACGCCGTAGTCAATGAGAGAGGTCGTTGATCATTGGTCAGGCACGATTAATGATGCCCGTGCACGTGCACCACTCTCGCGCGCGTGAAAATCGAGAACCGGCAAGCGGATTTGAAGCGAATTTCAGCCGTTATACGGATTTCCTCTTCTGCGAATCGCTGAGTAAGACATCGATTCGCTGTTAGAGGCTTATCAATTCCTGTTCTCGCGGTTTACTATAAGCCCGGTATATTCAGTACATACAACCTCCGATTCAACGAAATCCACCGCGAGATCTCTTAAAAACAGATCTATTTTTTTTTTAATAAACATTTTGAGTAGATTTTCTTTAAAAGAGAGTTTTTAAATTAAACACGCGTATGAAAAGAGGATTTCAAGCTAAAATTAAGGAATATTGCTCTCAAAATCGATACACCTCATCGACGTGAGTCACAGATGTGATTGCATGCGTTTCCCATGTCGCGGTTATGCAACGCTTATGCAAATGATAGCAAACCGTGCAAGCTCTCGGAGATACTCTTAAAAAGACGCACACGACGAACAGGGACGTATCATATACCCGAGGTGGAACGATGATGAAATAAGCCATTAAGTCACGAGGCTCGGCGTAACATTACGAGAAGCAACGTAATCTCGTCTAATGTCGTGCAATGAAACGTAATAGCGGTCGCACTGTATCACCTTATTTCGCATGCGGCCAGATATTACGTTGCATCGGCGAGAGCAAATCATCTCGTGCGTTTCGAATCTATCTTTTTTTTCAAAACGTTTTTTCGTCCGTTTTTACGTTTCTCCTGTGGACTTTTTATGGCGATTAGTAGATTCAAAGGAAAAAGGAAATTAGTTTGCCAATTTAAGTTGTTTTACAAAATTAAAATTAAATATTTAGAATCCAGATCCAATAAAAAAAAAGGAAGAAATATGCTCTCCTTACTCGAAGCTATAGAAAGATAATACAATATTTAACACTATTTTTATTATTCAGCTCGCGATTAATATATAAAATTAAAATTATATTAACATATAAAAACTCTGAAAAAAGAGCTTTTCCACGTTTAGAGAATAAAAGTCTTACAGACATGATTTTAGCGTTATAAGAGACTATACTGTGCAAATAATAAAAAGAACTCTGTCCCTACTTATATACGTGATCTCACTATAGATGCATTCGCTTTTAATTTTGCAAACGAAGCGTCCTCGCGGGAGGTCGCGTTTACACAAGCAGCGTCGTTACTCAGGCTCTCTATCGTCCTTGTAAATTATCAGTGGAACGTTCGCGGCACGCCATTCTGAGGGGTCACGTATGCGGCCCCCGGAGCCTGCGGCCGGGGGCGGTCGACGACGTCGGCCGTGCACGCGCACGGCAGCGAGAAACAGAAAAAAAGGGTCGAGAGAGAGAGAGGGGGAGGGGGAGGGAAGGAGGGAGGGAGAGAGAGAGAACGTTTGTCTTTGATAATCAACGGATGTCCCATCCATCTTGGTCGAAGGGGTCAACACTTTTCCGGGTACGACACCCGCGGCCACCGACCGCGACCGGTGCATTATTCATGAGGCCGCCGTCGTAAGTGTTGTCCGAAATTCAATTCGGTAGTCCGCGAAGAACGTTGTAC